AAAGGGGGGAAAAGGGTGGTTAAAAAAGGGAAAAAATGTGAAAAAAGTAAAAAAATGTGAAAGAAAGGTGAAAAAGAGGAAAAAGAGGGGGAAAAGGGGGGAAGGGGGAAAAGGGTAAAAAGGGGGGAAAAGAGAAAAAAGGGGAAAAAGGGGAAAAAGGGGGGAAAAGAGGGGAAAGGGGGAAAAAGGGAAAACAGGAGAAAAGAGGAGAAAAAAGGGGTAAAGAAGATGGGGGGAAAAGGGCAAAAGGGGGGAAAATGGGGGAAAGTGAAGGAAGGGAAAATGGGGTTAAAAGAGGGGAAATGGAAGAAAAAATTATAAAGGGGGGAAGGAAAAAGGGGGAAAAGTGGGAAAGAAGGGAAAAAGGGGGAGAAAGGGAAAGATGGGGAACAGGGGAAGGAGGAAAAGGGGTAAAAGAGGGAAAAAGGCAAAAATAGGGGAAAAAAGGGGAAATGGGGAAAAAGAGAAAATGCAAGAAAAAAGGCGGAATGAGGGGAAAAGGGAAAAAGGTGGAAAAGTGGAGGAAAAGGGAGAAAAGGGGGAGAAAGGAAAGAACTGAAAAGGGGCAACGTTTGGAAAAAGGTCAAAAATGGGGAAAAAGGCACAAAAAGAGATTAGATTTCTCCCCAATTAAGGCAAACCCACCCACTAAAACAAGTGGTTTTTTTAGTCCGACATGGCGCCACGTCCACGCACATCCCAATTCCCCCTAAATCGCCCCCAAACCGCCTGCCCCTCCCCAGCCCCCAAAACCGCTCGTTTTGGGGTATTTCTCTCATCCCCCTCCTCAGCCGATCTTAATTCCACCCGAAATCACATATTTCACAAATTAACGCACAAAAATGTGCATGTCAAACCCAATATTGCTATTTCTAATGGAAACGCAGCAAATAAGGAAAAAATTGTGTTCCCCTGCAACTTGGTTTTTTTCCCCGCTCTTAAAGGGCCAGCACCCTGCAGGGTCAGGCAAGCGGCAGCAGCAGATTTCTGGGTTAATTATGGCAAGAATTGGTTAATGATTAGGGAAATACAGCGCCTTTAAGGCCCCAGCCCATCCCCCGCCCGTGCACACAGGGCTCATTCAAAAGGGAGGGAAAAAAAAAAAAGCCCTGTTTTGCCCAAACTGACCCAAAAAGACACAATGAGCAGCACAAAGCGGCACTGCGAGCCGGCTGCCGGCGACAGCGCGGCGCTCCCGGCACCTGGACAAAATGCGTTTTTCTCTGAAAAACCATCAGTTTGGCCAATTACGAAAAGCAATTCAGCCTCAGTGGATTTTGGTGGGAAAAAAAAACACGCCCAAACAAAACAGGTTTGGGGGCCTTTGGGTTGAAAACAACCACTTTGCATGGTGAAAAATGAGTATTAGGAATTGCAGCCTGGGGAGTAATCCCCATTAAACACAGAAAAAGCCATTAGAAGGGCGTTAATGTATAAACATCGCTGAAAAAACCACACAAATTTGGCAAAAAAAGGGCATTTTGCAACAAAAAGGAGGTTTTTAATGAAAATTTAGATTTTAATGCAAATGCCACTATATTGTGGCAGGGCTGGGGGGATTTTGCCCCAAACTGGCTGCCCCCTGGCTTGGTGCAGAGCTTGCACGCTGCAAGCAGGAGGCTAAGGTCTACTCACACCTTACTCAAGGTTTACACTCACCCACCCCGGGGCTCTCCTTACATAGACTGAGCCTGCTGTGACTCCCTGCAATGCGACACGGGGCACCCTGCTGTGCCTCCTGATAGGATGCTACACAGCTGCTCCAAGGATGCTACACAGCTACTCCAAGGATCCTACACAGCTACTCCAAGGCGCTGCGTGATCACACCACAGCGCAGGGGGCTGATTTGCACGTGGTGGAGATCTTGCAAGCATGCAGGGAGGTGCAGTAGGCTCCAGAGGGGCTTTACTTATAAGATACTACACTGCTATTCTGATGTGCTACACAACCACTCTGCAATGGGGTAGGCCGGTCTGCACGCCGTGGGACGGGGTGTATCTCATGACCATGCAAGGAAGCATGCGGGCCCAAGGGTGACCTACTCATAGGATCCTACACAGCTACTCCAAGGATCCTACACAGCTACTCCTAGATAGGACACTACACAGCTACTCCACACTGCTGCATGACTACGTCGTGATGCAGGGGGCTGAGCTGCATGTGGGGTGTACCTTGCTAGCGTGCAAGGCGGCATGCAGACCCCGAGGGAGTCCTTACTCATAGGATACTACAGCGCTATTCCTGACATGTTGTATGATCGTGCCACAATGCAGGGAGCTGGTCAGGGAAGTCTTGCAAGGGTGCAAGGAGGTGCACAGGCCGTGAGGGGGCTTACTAACAGGTTACTACACCACTACTTTGCTGTGTTGCATGACCACGCTGCAATGTAGGGAGACAGTTTGCATTGCTGGGGGGGGGGGGGGGCCTTACTCACTCCTCATCCTGGAGGCGCTCCTCCTCCTCCTGCGCCTGGAGATGCCCCCGCACGGGGGCCAGACCCTCGGTGGCAGCATCGTAGTTGCGGAAGCAGACAGTGAGCTTCTCATCGAATTCCTGCACCAGGTCCTCCATCGACTTGAAGCTCATCATCTCAGCCGAGAAGCTCTCCAGCTCGGCCAGCGCCGGGTCCGCAGTGCGTTGCGGGGTTCCCCCATCGTCCCCAGGCCCCTCCTCGAACTCCTCCTCCAGGCTTACCAGGGGCGCCTCCATCCTCCTCAATGCCGACGCGCCGCCTTAGCTGCGGGGAGAGGGTGCCCGTGAGGCACCAGGCTACTCACAGGTTACAACACAGGGTTCCCCGTTCCCTTTGCTGCCGCCGTGCTGGCTGAAACCCTACTGCCAGGGCTATTATGCCACCAACAGTATCTCTGTAGTATCCTAGTAGTATCCCAACAGCATCTTAGTACTGTCTTCATAGAAACATGATGATATCCTGACACTGTACTAGTAGTATTTTACTAGTAGCAACAAAGTGTTGATAGTGGCCCAAAAGTATCTTAGTGCTACCCTGATAGCATATAAAAAGTATCATAACACTACCTTTTTTACTGAACTGGTAGTATCTTAGTAGTATCCTTATACTATATCAATATCTTAGTAGTGGCCTGAAAGTATCATACTAGTATCAGCAATGTGCAGACAGTATCCCAAAAGTTTGAGTGTTGCCCTGACAGCATCCCAGAAGTATCTTACCACCACCTTTTCTAGTGCCCTTGTAGTATCTCAGAAGTATCCTTACTGATATCCTACTAGCATCCTAACAGCATCCTACTAAGAAATGAGTACTGTCCTGATAGCACCTTAGCAGCGCTGTGATAATATCCTGATATTATCATAGTAGTACCCTGATACTGTCTTAGTAGTATCCTAGTAATGGCCCTGTAGTATCTTGGTAGTGCCTCAATAGTATTGTGAAAGTATCTCAGCAGTATCTTTTGGAGTATAAGCAGTATCCTGATAATATCTTAGCAGCATCCTGATAGTACCTTTGTGCTACACTGAGAGTATCCTAGTAGCAGCTATTGAATAGCTCAGCATTGCTCTGATGTTGTACTAGCACAGGTAGTAGTATCCCGATACTATGTCAGGAGCATCCCAATAGCATCCTAGTTACATCCTAAGAGTGCCCTGATAGTATCACAGTAGTATATGAGCAGTGTCCTGATAGGATCCTAATAGTGTCGTAATGGTATATAGCTATTATCTTAGTAGTGTCCTGATAGTATTTTGGTAGTGCCGTGTAATATCCAGATATATCATCTTAGTGCCATGTTACTATGCTGAAAGCATCTTAACCGTATCTATCGTAGTATCCTCAGAGTACCCTGATGCTGTGTCAGCACTGCCCCAGTGGTACCTTCATAATAGTATCTCAGCACCAACCCTGGGAAGATGCTGGAAATATCTTAGTAGTGTCCTGACAGCATCCTGGTAGTGCCCTGACAGTACCTTAGCAGCGTTCTCGCAGTATCCTAGTAGCATCCGCATAGTATCCTGACAGTATCCTAGTGCCACCCTGAGAGTGCCTTAGTACTGCCTGCAGAGCATCCTGACAGCATCTTAGTAAAGTCCTGAGAGCATCTTAGTAGCATCCTAGTAGCATCCTGAGAGTATCTCAGCTGTGTCTTGATAGTATCTCACTACTCCTCACAAGGTTACTGAGAGTATCCCAGTAGTATCTTAGCACAAGCCTCATAGGAAGCAAATAGTAACCTAGTAGTAAGCCAGTAATAGTCCAGTAAAGGTGCCACTGCCCCAACCCACTCACCCAGCCCCAGTCACGCCTCCCCTGGAGAGGGGGAGGAGAGCAGAAACACACCGCAGCTTTTGGGGGAAAACCTGGCCAGACTGGGGCTTTGAGTACTGCCTGTGCACAGGTGCACCTGCACCCATGTGCAGCATGTCTGCATGCCCACTGTGCACACGTGCACCCCCACATGCGTGCAGCACTGGGTGTGCATGAACCTCCACAAGGTCTGCACGCACGCACCCTGTGCAGGCATGCACCCCTGTGCATGCATGCACCCCCACATCTGTACGGGGTGCGTGTACACCCCTGTGTGTGTGCACTTGAGGGCAGACGCATGCACGGTGCACACATATGTTGCTCGCATGTCATGGTGCATGTGTGCATGGGGTGCGTGCACACCCAGGGGTGCGCATGCACATACACCGACCCTGCACCTACGCACTCTGCAGGTATGCACCCTGTGCCTGCCTGCACCTCTGCAGATGTGCAGCCCTACGCATGCATGCAGAGCGCACACACACAGGGGCCCACCCGTGGGAGTGCACGTGTGCAAGGGGTGCGTGCAGATGAAGGTGCATGCACGCACGGTGCACCCACGCTGCATTGATGCACAAGGGTGCAAGCGCCCACTGCACACATGTGCACCTCCACACGCATGTGCCCCTGTGGATGCATGCACCCCCCACGCGCACTGTGCAAGTATGCACCTCGTGCACGCATGCACCGCTGTGCATGCATGCATCCCCATACACGCACACCGTGCATGCACCATGTACCCCAACATGCCTGCACCATTCACATACAACCCCCTCCGGGCACCCCCAAACGCGAGCTCCCCGGTTGCATGCACACACCTGCACATGCCTGCGCTGCGCACGCTGCACCCCCTGCCTGCACGCACCCCCGTACATGCAGCTCTGTGCATACACACACCCATGCACC